CCCCAAAACCCCAAAACCCCAAAACCCCAAAACCCCTGAGGAAGAATAAATTATTGAAGTTTATAAATTTGCCTATATTTGATTATTAAAGGTTATCATGGACCACCAGACAACTAATTCAAGTAAGTTATTCGGTGAGGGAGTTAATCTTCAAGGGGTTAAAGTAAAAGATATTTGAAAAATAGCTTGCCAATTATTACTTGAGCGAGTGTTACATTCAGGGAGTTATATATTTTATAGTTAAGAAGAAAGAGAGTAGTGCCAATAAGAACTCTCCTAGCAATATTTTTAGAGGTAAGATTGAATAGAATGTTAGAAAAGTTCTGAAATTGAGTTTAGAGTCAGAACTTTGCAAGATCTCTGATAAAAGAGCTTCACAACCAGTTAGAAGTAACATGCCTCACCAAGATGAGTTACCTATATTAAACCTTAAAGAGACAATGATGGATCAGACAGATGAGTCTAATGATTTTTTAAGTAAAGAACACTAATTAATATTTTAGATAAAGACGTATCTCTTTCAAAATTTAACTATACTGATGCTGATATCTGCAGAATGCTCAAGTTCAATAGCAAGCGTATCGATAAAAAGCATTTAGAGCATAAATAAAAATCTATTAGAGAACTTGTTCAAAATTAATTACAACTCAACCTTAAGCGCGAGTACAGATGAAGAAGATACAACTCCAATGCTGTCAACTAAAGGAAGAATGAGCCCATATGGAAGTCCCTGAAGAGCAAATACAATTATCAAAGAGGCTAAGAACTCTCTAAAGAAGAGGAATAAATCTTATAATAGCATCTCTTTCAGTGACAAGAAGGGATATAAATGTAATCAGACATCTGACCCTTATAGATCCTTCTCTAGAAGACTATTCCACTATTGTACCCAAATACGACCGATCTCCAGCCAAGAAGAACTCTGGTTACTATAAAGAGGATGAATATGGCACGGATTTTAGAAGTATGAAGTCGGTCAAATATGATCCTAGAGAAGATCGGACTATCAATATTCGAAAGAAGCTCTCTAGGAAGAAGTTTGTATTGAAAGAAATTATTAAAAACAAGCCTGCCAAAAAGACCAACAAGAATGAGACTATGCGCAAGAATTACAAGCAAATGTTAAATACTGCTGACCCAACTGAGATATTTGAAAAGATCAGGCTAAGAAAGAAGGAGCAAAGATATTTAGAGGCAATGAATAATGGAATTTTCGGAAGGTAAAATTATTAAAAATGGACTTTTAGAAAATATTTTCATATTTTTTATCTTTTATGTAGGTTCTCAAACAGGAATATACAGAATCAGGTGAGATCTCAACCAGAAGAAAATTCTCATGATAGTTTTGGGGGTCCTTCTCACTCCTTCACCATAGCAAATAGATAGGTATAAATATTACCCTTGGTAAAGGAAATTTTCAATATGTTTAAATAAGAAAGGGGTTTTGGGGTTTTGGGGTTTTGGGG